GGATTGATTCAGTGACTGGGGTAATCGGGATGGTAGTGTCAGAGACAGTGCGACTGGCACAGGACAGCGCAGGGTTTAGGGCTGTTGTACATAGAGTCACTGAGTCGCAAGCGACTCGATGGCACATAACAACAACAACAAAAAAAAACAGAGCCCAGGGCCTTTCTTGCATAAGATACCAACAGGCACAGCTAAAGAGGCAAGTATGCAATGTCAACAGGACTGACGGTCATGGTTTTTTGGGTGGGATTGTTGGGTTTTTTTTTTATATATAATCATGTTTTGCTTATAACATCAGAACTGAAACTACTAATTTGTCATTTCCCTAAAACAAGGAGGTCAATCTAAAACACATCCTGGTGCTTTTCAAAAGACAGCCATTTAAAAGGGTGATAGCAGCAGGCATTTGATATCTTTTCCTCTTAAATACCTTCATGCTGCATGAAAGGCATGTGAGCAAGTGTTACGATTATCCATTAGAGCTTTTCATCAGTGCCTGTACCAATTTAAATGACAATACAGTAAGATCCAAGTTATTAGTGACAGACAATGTGCATATCATAAGGAATGATATAAAGTAACAATCCTTACAAAAGTCATTGTCAAAGAAAATGTTAAATGTTCAAAGGTATCTAAATATTTCACATTAAATACAGAAGCGGTCCTCAAGAGTATATCCCCTATTTGTTGAGTATTTTTCCAAAAGTGCCAACCAAAGCCTAATTTTGCATTTTGGCTTTGCTTCATCATCACCACTGAGACAAGGAGGGAGAGGCAAAATCATCAACAAACAGGAACAACAAGAAAGTTATGGAGCAGAGCAGGCTTTGTTTAGAAATACTTTGTCAAGCTTCTCATGTCTCAGATTTCAAGTAGTTTACCCTCTTGAGGAATATGAAGGAACTTTAGAAAGTATTTTTTCTAAGACTTATAGAACCATCAAGTTGCACTGATGTTTCTGGTAGAATTCTCAATGAGCTAGACTCAGAACATCAAGATAATTCCCAATTTCCTAACTCAGAAATAAAGGAGTGTAATAAAGCAATTTTCTCACCCTGACCTAAGGGAGGAAATCTCATCAGCATTCAGCACATCCAGGAATTGGCATGCTTCAATGAGAGGGAGAAGTTTGAAGCCAGAAGGGCAATGGCATAGAATGAACAGGGGCATCTCTACAGAGTTGGCTTTGGTATGAGCACACCCAGCAACAGCCCATCCCCAAATGTAAGAAGAGCACGTGGGGGCTGCAGAGTGTTCAATGACCTACCTGCCAGTCTGGTCTGAAGTCCATGTCACTGATCCCCCCTGAGGGGTGGTTCTGTACCATATTCTTATAGCATGTGGAAAGCCAGCAGCTGTCTGAGCCCCTGTCTTTCTGATCTGTAAGCTCAAGGAGTCAGTGGCAAACAGGAGCTCGCCACAGCCAGGAGCTTGGCTGCAACGAGCATAATAGTCTAACTGCTCCCTCCAATGATCAGCCGACAGAGTCACAAGTTGATGTACAATATGATTCCTGAGCTCCTCAGGGCCAGCTGTGAGCTGGAGAGACTTTGTAAATCTTTCAATACCTAGCACAGCAGATACATCGACCTCCTCTACCTTTAACACAGACAAATCACAGCAGTCCAACACTAGCAAAAAATCTTGACTCCCAGGACTCCTTGCATCAAAGCAGCACTTTGTACCAGAAGTCTGTTCCTGGTTGTTAAGGTTACCATCCTTCTCAGAAGTATCTGTTTCACCTTCACCACAGATTGTAAACTCATTATATTTCACTTTAGATGAGAAGGGTCTTGTGCTTGTCACAGAAGCATGGCAGGGGGTAGTGCTCCCAAATTCAAGGTCTCTGCATGAATCCACTGGACAGGGTTCCTCAGAAGAACTACTCCATCTTTTGAGTTTGTTTACTGATTCACAAAAAAGCACTATAGTACCCTCAAAGATATGATTGTCAAAATCCACATCTAAATCTAACACATAGTGCTTCACAAGTATGTGGCTGGTATTGGCCATGAGAGGCAGGTCATCTCGGGCAGGATTCAACTTTGTGTCCATGGTACAGTAATAATAATTGGAGAGTTTTATTGAATTCTCAAAGACAGCTTCTGATCTGCCTCAATCTTCCACACAAAAAAAGTGACCAGATATCACCAATGATGGCTCCACAAGCTTCAGTTCCTAGGCAAAGAAGAAAAACATAATTAGAAAAATACCAAATAAGATCCTAAATGTTCCAATAATGACTGCTCCTGCAAGTCAACGACCACTCACATAATTCTCCAATATGATAGATGCTCATAACTGGAAGGCAGACAAAGACTTTTTGCCTGTCATCAAAGAAAGTTACATAATGAGTTACTAAAAATATTTCAATTACCAATAGAATGAAACAGGTATCCATAAAACAGGAAGAATTAAGCTTCTAGAACAGTTCTTGCTTTGGAAAAGAGCAACTGTTATAAAAAAGTGTAATGGAGGATCAATGAGCCTCTTGTTTTAAAAGATATTAGGTATCATTTCTAATTTTATACATCCAAATATAAGCAAGCAATCATTTCTCTATTGTGATTCTAAGAAACAACTGTGAATGAAGGCTAAATGGCCTCATATGTTTTAATTTTTCCAGAGTAATAATTTCATATACACAATGTAACTCCAGGGATTAATGAACTTTTCACATTAAGACTGCTCTCATATCAGCACTTCAGGTAAATTATGAGCCAATTTACCAGGAGTGCATTCAAAGTATTCCTCTGAGATTGTTCATGGAGCTATTTCAAATTTATAGTTAAATACACAAGGTAAATAATTACATCTTAATAGATGAAAATCCATTAACATTCTGGATAATGGTCTTCTGGTGGCAAAGGGTATTCTCATTTGAAAAAAAAAGTAAATTCCTGTAAAAGAAGGGACAAAAATTAAAATAAAGAGAAGTTTTAATAAAATGTACAAGTTGTCAAAAAGTTCTGAATCAAAAGGTATTCTTATTTTATAACAAGAATCAAGAATCTGACTAAAAATGTATCTGAAAGTCCTTCAGTCATTGTTATGTATCTAATTTATTTCAGCATATGCCCATTTTTTAATTTTTTTTTTTTTGTGAAGCATTCTTCTAGGTCATATAGCCCTGGTCTGTCCACTTGCTGTACAGAGGTAACTTGTGGTTGCCATGAAGCTGAACACTGTGACACTGATGTGTCAAACGCGATAATGGTTACCCATGGTTGGACAGTGTTTGGTGGAGCTCCCTGATTAAAACAAGCTTGGACACAGGAGTAGCATCCACTTCTGAAATAACTTGCCACCGGAAACCCTATGAACCTGGAGAAAGGATGGACATTTTATAAGTGCTCAGGTCTTTCGTTCATAGAACACTTAACAACAACAACATGCTATTTTATTTTACCTTTTTCTCTTTTTTTTTTTTTTTAGCTGCTGCAAAAAGCTTTATTGTTTCATTTGGTCCAAAGCTAGGGCAAGGGGCTTCTAGATGGATAAGATTTTACATCAGGGTGGGATAGAGAAGCTTGCTGCTGATGGCAGGGGGACACAGGGGTCCCCCCTGCAGGTCCCCGCAGGCCCCTAATCTTGCTTGAGGGTGAGATGCTCAAAGAGATACTTGCCTAGCCCAGGCTGGGGGCCACCCAGTCTTCTAATGTTGTCAGATGGTCACCCATCTTCTTCAGCAGTTTCACTTCCTCATCCAGGAAATGGTTCTCCAGAAAGTCACAGAGATGGGGCGGGGGGTCAGTGTGGGCAGAACACATGGCGTGCAGATCCAGAAGGGCCTGGTTTAGGTTCTTCTCCAAGGCCTGCATTGCTTGCATGGCATCCAGGGTTTTACCCCACTCATCCTGGGAAGGATTCTGGATATCTTGGAAGAGACCACGCCACCACGCTGGTTTTGCAGCTTCAAGAGCCATTCGGCACCCTCGCACTTCTCCTTCACCAACTCCTGGAAGAAGGTCCCATGCCTTCCAAGGCCATATCATTGCAGTAAAAGTAAAAACCCAGAGAGAAGTAGGTAAGAGGCCCGCATGCGCAGGTTTTTTTAAAATATTCCCTTACCAATACAGCAGTTGCTGCCCCTACCCCAACTGATCACTTCCTGAGAAACCTGATAACATCTGAGGTGGCTAGATCAAAGTCTAGACCACATGATGGAACCTGATATGGCTCTGGGCCTGATCACAAAAGCTCAAACCCAACTTAATTAACACTCCAAATGCCAAGAAATACCTTCTTCTTTAGTCCTCCCCAGGACTCCTATTTGGAACTGCCCCTAACTGCCCTCATGCCATTTTGTTCCTGATCACTTGGTATCTCTCTCAGATCATGAAATAAAGGCCTATTCATTTCTTGGGACCAGTTTCTTTCTCTTTCACCATCAATTCTTTTTTTAATCTAACAGCCATATTGAAGGCTGCAGTCCTTGACCCTCTACAGACTTCAATTGGCAGCATCAGGAGGGATGGTGAAGAGATTGAGATTGTTCACAGCTTTAGTTTGCTTGGCTCCACAGTCAACACTCTTGGCACCAGCAGTCAGGAAATTAAAAAGCGTATTATGATGGGAAAGTCTGCTGTTAGGGACCTCTCTAAAGTACTCAAGAGCAACAGTGTCTCTCTGGAGACTAAGGTCCGCCTGATACAGGCCATGGTTTTTGCAATCACATGTTATGCATCAGAGAGTTGGACAATGACTAGGGAGGACAGAAGGAGAATTGATGCCTTTGAGCTGTGGTGTTAGAGAAGAGTATTGACTGTACCATGGACTGCTAAGAAAATGAATAGGTTCATCCTAGAGAGGATTAAACCAGGCTGCTCCTTGGAGGCAAGGGTTCTGAAGCTTCGTCTGACATACTCTGGACATGTTGCAAGGAGGGAAAGAGACATTATGCTTGGGAGGGTGGAGGGATAACGCAGGAGGGGAAGACCCTCAATAAGATGGATTGATTCAGTCACTGGGGTAACTGGGGTAAGTGTGTCAGAGACAGTGAGATTGGCACAGGACAGAGCAGGGTTTAGGGCTGTTGTACTTAGGGTCACTACGAGTCGCAAGTGACTCGACGGCACATAAAAACAACAACAATAACAACATCGAAAAGCCAGAAACTAAATGGAAATAGGAGCAAAACAGAAACTCTGACATTCAAAATAATACTTGTATTTTCATGTATCATGAGGTATTCTTTTCTCACTACAAAACAACATTACCTACTTGTTTTTGTATATAAAGTGGAACTCACTTTCCTTATTTTGCTTCCCTCACCCTCACTCCTTTGCAGCATGACCTTCCTGTCCACTTTCTGTCTTTCCCTACCTTTTAGAATTTCATTCTAGCAATATACCTAGTGAAATTTGGTTTATCCTTCAGTCTATTTCCTCATCAAAATCACACTTGACCTGAAACTTTAGTGCTTTTCCGCCAGACCTGGAGACCACCACTCCAACAATTTCATCCTCGGCTCTAAAAGCCTATTCAAACCAATACTCCCTACTGTAAGGGTGCCAAGAAAGGACAGAACCCAGTTTAGGACAAGAGAATTTACTGAGAAACTTCCAGGCTGGCTCTCAAGCAGAAAACCAGCCCACACTAAAAAACAGAGAGGGGTTTTATAATATCTTACAAGGAACTTGGGGAAGGAGATGTTTTCTACAAGATAGGGATGTGGGCTAGTGTCTCAGATAATTATTTCTGAGAAAAGGGGTAGAGTAGTTTCACATCCTTGACAGAAAAAGCTGGGCTGCTCCTTCTTGTGATTGGATTCTTTCAGTAGCTATTCTGGGAGAGTAAGAAAAGGCTTCTATAGTCCTAATACCTACAGGACTCGATCACTTCTATGTTTTCCGTACAAAACTGTGATTTATACTTGAATCACTCTTAACTTCTGCCTCCTATCCACTTCCCCAACTCCTACTGCCTTGACAACTCTAGTTTAGGTGCAACCACTTAGAGAAAAAATTCCTTGGCCTCTACTTCCTCTCTCTACCAACTAATATTTGAAATCAGGGATGCACATACTCCAGGATTACTATATGGAGAAGCCAATACTTCACTATTGTTTTTGCTGTTGTTATGTGTCCCTGAGTCGAAATCAACTCATAGCTGACCCTTCAGTGAAATATGAGAGGCTTGTGAATCATATGGGTAGAGATTGCTCATATTTCCCCCACAAAGCAGCGAAAAAGGTTCAAACAGCATAAACCTTAGGCCTGGCAGCACAATTCCTTAACCACTAGACACCAAAAGTCAATACTTCATTGTTGTTATTGTTATGTGCCTTCGAGTCAGAACTCACTCGTAGCTGACAGTCCAGCAAGTGTCCAGAGGCAGTAAATCACACTGAAGGAGTCTGCCCATCTTTCCCCCGTGGAGCAGCTTGTGGATCCAAACTGCTTACCTTTGAGATTGCAATGCAACTTTTTACCACTAGATTAGAGGTCTTCATACTTTATTGTAATTATTGTTGTGTACCACTGAATCAGAACCGACCCACAGCTGACCGACTGGCAAGTTTTAAGAGGCAGTTAATTGCACAGGAGGAGACTGCCCATTCTTCTCTCATGGAGGAGCTGGTAGATTTGAACTGCTTGCCTTAGAGACTGGCACAGCTTCCTGCCATTAGGCCACCAGAGCTCCCCTCAGCTCTATATAAAACAGAAAAGCAAAGTTTTTTTTTTTCTGTATGAGTCTTAACAGGTGATTAAACTTATCATTTCATGAAACAAAAAAAAAAGAAGTACTTAGTAAGCTCAACAATCACCTTCATGAAAGCCATGGGCTGTATCTACACAAACAGAAATAATATATGCTAAAAGTACAATGTCACTAAAGAAAGGAAATAGGAAAGGTCAAAAAAGTATAGTCTACAAAAGTAAACCATATTACATGTACAATCTTGCATTATTAGTAACAATAAACAATCTACAATAGGAGACGACGCTATGTAAATATCTTAATCATAACAAAATATCCTAAGAGTATGAGCTTCTGGGGGTCAGAACTATAAATCAAAGAAGGTATCAAGGTTAGGCCATAGAGTCAATCAA